TTCCTCTTGTTCTTCTTTTCCATCTCTTCTCCTCTACTTCTTTTCCCCTTTTCCTTCTCCTCCTCTCGTCTTCCTGTCCTCCTTTTCCTCTTGTTCTCTCTACTTCTCCTCCTCTTCCTCTCCTCACCATCTCCAAAAGCAGGGATAACAATCATGTTTAGAGTTTCTCCAGCAATGCCCACCACGCTCACTAGGAAATAAAATAGGTGGAATAAAAGGTGAAGCTCATTTAACAAATGATTCACTTAGCAACATAAATGTTGGGCTCAGTTGTGGTTGTAAAATGAGGACTAAAACATGCTGGTCGTTTCTGGCTCTAGGGGGCGGTGCTCATCTCCATTACAAAACCAAAGAGCCAGTGCTGTCTGAAGACGTCTCCGTGGTCATGTGGCCGGCATGACTAAACATGGAAGGAGCACAGAATGCTGTCACCTTCCCACCAAAGTGATTTTTCTACTTGCATTTTTTACATGCTTTCGAACCGCTAGCTTGGCAGAAGCTGGGACAAGTAACGGGAGTTCACTCCATTATGTGGCGCTAGGGATTCGAACCACAAACTGCCGACCTTTCTGATCAACAAGTTCAGCGTCTTAGCCACTGAGCCACTGAGTTAAAAGTACAGGTAGCTTCATTCTCCTCTTGCGTATATATTGTCCTGTATATATTTTATGTTTTACCTTCTGTAGACATTTTATTAAAAAAAAAACCCGAGGTGGGGGGGGAGAGAAAATGGGAGAAAAAAGAGGAAAGTGTAAGGAATTTAAAAATAAATAAATAAGAGTATCTTCCAACTTTCTTCATTAGAATTACAAATAGAAATTACATTGATACTTTGCTCAAAAATCCAATTAACATACAGTACTTCTATCATAATATTGCCTTTTTGCATATCAGCAACTGAAGACTTTTCATCTAACTGTGCTCTAGTTCAAACCTGGTATGAAAAGGTGATAAAGGTGGTAACCTACAAAACAAACAAAAGGCTAGCTAATATGACTCACCTGTTTTCCCTGGGCATTAGTTCTCAGCTCTGATTTAAAAAAATGCAACAACCACAACCCTTTAAACTAAACACAGACATCGCCCTAACTAGGTGTTTGCAGCTTCTATTATCTCGGAGGAAGATAAACATTAGATTAAGGCTGCCCCAAAGATCAGTTTTACCATGCAATTGTCTTCCTCGTTCACAAAAGGAGAGAAGGAATTAGAATCAAACAATGTTAGTTATTGCACGAACTATTCCTGCTTTCGTTCACTGAAAAACCAGGTTTGCTTGTTTATTTATCTAATTTATATGCCACTCATCTTGTGGTACAAGGCCAATTAAACCAACATGGACTTGTTTATACCTAGCTGTTGTGTGAATCCAGATATGGGAGCCAAGACCCGATGGTTTTCAGCTTAATTTAAATGCATGATTCTGGGTTAGTCAACCAATAATGACAATAAGAAATGTTTTTCATGTGAATGGCTGGATTTAGCTTACGTGGTTTGTAATCGTTCTCATAATTCTTATGCTCTTTTGCAGACACCATAGGGAAGAACCAGGTTCATCTATGATAGCCAAAAGTTATTCGATATGATGTAGAACCTCCAGAAAATAGTATAAGTCTGGAAGGATTGGCTTATAGCTTGAAGGATTGGCTTATTTGGTAGAACCCGGCAGGCATCAACTAGTTGCCCAAATCACTTCTATCACCTACTTATGTTCAGTCCCTGCCAAGATTCATTAAAATTCTGACTGCATTCACAAAACCCCTCAAATTATGTGACACTCCCAGCCACCAACTTCAGGATTCAAAAAGCAGGAAGCAGCTCGTGAAGAAGATCGAGAATGTGCTTCTTCCAAGGTCCCCTGAGTACGAGAGAAGATATTCCCCATACGTTACTCGAGCGGCCGGCAATCTAGGTCCAAGACAAGATGGTCTACGTGAGGGGCGTACGATTTCACATGTTCAAGATGCAGGATTTGGGTTTTCCAAGGTTTCCTGTCCAGGTCCTGAAGCAAATCCTGGATCCGTGTCGCCGTGACTTCTGCCCAGCCCTGCCATTCCTGTTTGGCTGAAGCCGCGAATGATTGTCCAACCTTCTGGAGAACATCGTGGTCCTTCAGAGCTATGCGATCTTCTTGGACACGGGAAGTTGCTTGGGTGGGAGGCTGCTTGGGTGATTGATCCTTCTCCAGTTGCTGGGATAACTCGGGTGCCTTTCCTGGAAACGCCTCCACGTTTTGGTGTATGTGAAGGACCCCTCCGACATCCTTTCTCAAGACCTGGCAAGCGACTGGCCACCCTTCCTCCGATGTCGGGATCAATCCCAGGTTTACTCTGTCAGCCACATCCTGTAGTTCAACCTCCAGCCAAGAAGAGAGAGCAGAGGAAACATCTTCTCAAATCAAAGCATTGATTTGTCTTCCTAGCTCACTTTCTTGCTCAGAACCGCAGCGGCTCTTTGAAGTCTCGGGCAGGCAGAATTTCAGGGTTCACTTTGAGGCCCTTTTCTACTCACCTTCCTATTATCCCCCTGGTGAATGTGGCAGCGATCCTGAACACCGTTCAGCTGCAGGTTCCTCCTAAGAGCTTCCACAGCATGGGGATTCCATTCACAAGCGTGGACAAAGGCAGCACCAGCATGAATTAAGTACGGCAGAGTGAAATAGCCAATCCCTGGAGAGAAGACAAGACAAAATGAGCTCAGTGTCCATGTAGTTACATTATCCTTGATTGACACCCTTCTAAGCTTTGTTTAAGCAGTGTGTGAAGAAATATTGATGCTTGAACTTCCTTTTCCTGTGCAAGAACATGTATTCTATTGGCTGTTGTCAGACTCCCATGGGGCCATGTAGGGGTTACGTAAGGGTCATAGCTGGCTCTATAAGCAAAGTACAAATCCTAGGTGTTTGTCTGAGCTAAGTTTGGTTGAAATTTCTGAGAGTGATGCAATGAAGGGGTGTTGGGCAATTCCTATTGTGGCTGAGGGCTAATCCTTCCTCTATTCAGACCTTGCTGCAGGGAATTTCAAAATATCCTGTCGTGAATGGATTTCGGCCTGCAGTATTTGCTTTACCTATGAATAGAGCCATCTATCTCTTTATCTCTTAAGTGCTGACGTCTGCTGAGGGCTATTAAGAAAGGTGGGGGCTGCTTTCTCCCTCTGAAAAAACACGTTTCTCCATTTCTCATCCAGGGAAATAGAATCTTCCGCCTTTTTTAATATTTCTCAAAATATTTCATTCTTCTAGGTGATGTGTGGGTGCTAACTTCCTACAGCGGTCTGCTGCTTCCAAGCATTCCTCTTCCTTTTGTTTGTACCGCTGAAGCACTAACAGCTCTTAATAGCTGATCCCGCGGGAAAAAGAATTGATGGGAGCAAGTACGCCATATTTGTGGCCTGCCTCCTCCCACCTATCTACCCATCCTTTGGCAGCTCCCTTCATAATGAACTCAAGGTGGAGACATTCCATAATACTCCTTCCATTTTCCCCACAACAACAACCCTGTGAGGTAGGTTGTGCTGAGAGAAAGTCACCTGGCCAGCTTTCGTGCCGAAGGGCCAAACTAGAACTCATTCGCCTGATTTCCAGGCCAGCGTCTTCACCCTTCCACCAAACTTGCTTTGCACGTCACGTAAATCTGCCAGCAGTGGTTTCTTCCGCAAAGTAAGCACGGCTTAACAAGGTGTGTTTAAACTCAACCAACACACTCGGTCTTTAACTGATCCAAACAGCCCCGTTGATTCCGCATTTCAAAGAATCCTTGCAATTCAGAAACACTTTCTATCCAAACTGAGATTTCAACAGGAGAGTTTCTGCTATTATCAGGGTAGTATTTACCAGCATACAGATCCACCACTACTTCTCCAGTGCATAACATAGAGGCTATCCGTAGCTTCTCAGTAATGTTTCCGGGAGACAGCATGCACTGGGTCACATCAAAGCTGTATCTGTGGAGAAAAACAAAGATGCAGGAGACTAGATATCCACCCTAAATTTCCCAAGAGGGGTACTTAGCTAACCTAACTTGTATACTTGTAGCCTAAGAAAGATCTGGCATGCTGGCTCTTTTTTTAAAAAAAATATAGTTTATTAATTTTACAATTAAAACCAACCAACAATACGTACACAAATAAACCGAAGAAAGGAAAGGGGGAAAGGAAAGCAAAAAAGAAAAATTTAGAAAAGAGAGAGAAAGGGAAATAGAAAGAAAAAGAACAAGAAGAGAAAGAAAAAAAAAGAAAAAAAATGGAAAAGAAGAAAGTTAAAAGCATTCTTATTTTTTTACACGCTGGATCTTTATTGCATGGGATTTAAATAAAAGAAAGAGGAGGAAGAGATGGAGGAAAGGGGCTCAGCTTTCCTAGTCCGTAAGGCTCATGGCCCAGATGGAAGCAAAAAAACTGGCAGCCTAGATTAACTAAGCAGATGTTCATCTTGGCTTGTTTTGGAAACGTATCAACTTATCCGAGATCTTTCTGTCCTGTCCAGCAAACACAATTCTCAAAGTGACTAACAAAAATCAGATAACATCATATCCAGAGTAAAACGTGGATAAAGTATGGGAAATGAAAACCTCATGAATAGGAAAAACAATGTGGCCCTTTTAACAGGCCTTATCTGCTTTAAGATCTCCACTACAGGAAATCTAGCTAGTTTCCAGTCAAAATACTCAATCCTGGAGACTTTTTCCTCTGACTTTCAAGCAGAATCTGCTTCCCTGTAATTTAAGACTATTATTCTGTATACTGCACTATTGAACACCACCAACTTTCTTGATTAAATTTGAATGTCTAGGATCTTTCGTGTGAGTCCCTTATTCGAGTATAAATGAAGAAAAGAGGAGTACAGAAGAACCTTTTCCCCCTTACCTGATTCCGTTGTCCACCTGTTCAACCCAACCATCCTCACCCAGCAACAGGGTCACAGCAGGAGAGCGAAACAAATCCGTCTGCACTCGCCCCCGTTTGGCTAAACGCCGGGACCCCAAAGCATCAGCAACCACCTGCCAAAGTCCTTGGCCTAGAACAGAGAGCAAAGGACATTATATTTCACTATAATGTTGTTCAGTTATACCAAAACCAACCAGGAATCTCTTGTAACATGTTTAAGAACTGACATTTGGTATTTATTTTAGCGGTAAGTTTCTAAGAGAGATCGTATCATCAAATGAATAATCTTCAGTTGGCAGTTCTTGTATTATATTTCATTGTGGTTAGTTAGATCCCATTCAAGAACTAACTCTGTTTAACTTTTAGGAAATCAGCTCAGATTGACTTCTATCACCTATGTCAGGGGTCTTCAAACTTGACAGCTTTTAAAACTTGTGGACCATCTCCCAGAATTCCTCCTCCAGTCATGTTAGCTCAGGAATTTTGGGAGTTGAAGTCCAGAAGTCTTAAAGCTGTCAAGTTTGAAGACCGTTGACCTATGTGGATATTATTTGCTTTGTACTGACTTTGCTGAATATGTATTCAGCTATAATGTGGGTTGTTGAGCATTAGTTTAATGTGTGATAAGAATTCAACCTGCTGCGGATTATTCAACAAGCCAATGTTGAATAAACCATGGCTTAAAGCAATTATTAAGCGCAATCATTATAATTCAGCTCAAGTATACGCAATTGCATGAGCCACGGTGGCACAGTGGTTAGAGTACAGTACTTCTGCTGACTGCCTGCAATTTTGCAGTTCAAATCTCACCAGGCTCAAGGTTGGCTCTCAGCCTCCCACCCTTCCGACAGGGGTAAAATGAGGACCCAGATTGTTGGGGGCAAGAAGCTGACTCTGTAAAACCGTGTAGAAAGGGCTGTAAAGCACTGTAAAGCAGTATATAAGTCCAAGTGCTATTGCTATTGCAGTTAATCTTCTTCTCTTTTTTCCCCTTGCCTCCATCTCGTTCTTTTATTTAAATCCCATGTAATAAAGATCCAGCATACCAGATCTTTGTGAATCCTGAGCATCAAGTCAGTACTATGTAAATAACAAATATTAACCTTAACAAGGAAAGGGAATTAACATTTATGATGAGAGAAAAAAACTGCCTCTGTTCAAATTAACTGAACTGCATTCTATCTATTTTAAACTTGCACTTCCCCAAGGTTTCTTTCTGCAAAGATATCAATCTTAGATTAGGAATGAAAGTTTGCTTTGGCTGAACAGGGATTCCCCCACTGTAAGATTATATTTACTATTTATCTATTTGTTCAATTGACTTGATTTCTATAGTCACCCAACTCAGTAAATGATTCTTTACCAAATTCTCTCCACTGCTTTGCTCTAAAGCAATCTTCACTTAGAAGAACGAGGTCCCCATGCCTCTGCCAGGACCGTGGCAGATCTTTCTCCAACTCTTCTGACCACGTAGCACCATAGATCGACATGAGGTGCTGTAGCTCACTGTGCAGTTTCTGAACAGGTGAACGTACCATAACTGCTTTCGAAGGAATAGGATTCTAAGAAAGAAAAAGAAATGGGTCAGTTTCCTTGGTGAAACACAGAGCTTGCTTCTGTTTCAAATCCTTTCTAAACACCTTAGCTGTATAGCAATAGCACTTATATACCGCTTTATAGTGCTTTTACAGCCCTCTCTAAGCAGTTTACAGAGTCAGCCTATTGCCCTCAACAATCTGGGTCCTCATTTTACCCACCTCAGAAGGAAAGAACGCTGAGTTAACCTTGAGCCTGGTGAGATTCAAACTGCTGAATTGCAGGCAGCCAGCAGTCAGCAGAAGTGGCCTGCAGTACTGCACTTTAACCACTGCGCCACTAAGGCTCTATGGGGTCCTAGGTGCTCTCTGATCTTGGTTATCTTAGGTATACATCTGAGCTGTATAAAGAATGGAATAGAACGGAAGAACAGAGTTGGAAGGGACCTTGTAGGTCATCTAGTTCAACCCCTAGCTCAAGCAGGAGACCCTATACCATTTCTGACAGGTGGCAGTCCAGTCTCTTCTTGAAAGTTTCCACTGATGAAGCTCCCACAACTTCCAAAGGCAACTTCTGTTCCACTGATTGTTCTGTCAGAAAATCTCTCCTCGTTTCCAGGTTGAATCTCTCCTTGTTCAGTTTCCATCCATTATTCCTTGTCTGGCCTTCAGGTGCTTTGGAAAACAGGTTGGCCCTCTCCTCTCGGTGACAGCCCCTCAAATATTGGAACACTGCTGTCGTGTCATCCCTGGTCTTTCTCTTGTCTAGCCATGCCCAGTTCCTGCAACTGTTCTTCATGTGTTTTAGTCTATTGGATACTTGTGATGAAAGGTTCAAAAGGCAGAATACTTTGAATGTTTTAATCAAAATCCCAGTGGTTCCCAAAGTGTTACCTTACACAAAACCAGCCCTTCTGTGACATCAGAACAGTTAAGACAGTGGCAGCACTAGTTCCAATCCAAACCCACGGCTACATCGAAGAAGCTCAACCAGTGGTCTGAATTTTGATCACATGGCCATGGGGATGCTGCAACAGTCATACGTGTGAAAAACAGTCATAAGTCACTTTTTTCAGTGCCATTTTACCTTCGAACAGTCATTAAATGAACTGTTTTAATTCAAGGACTACTTGCATTTATTTCCAGCCTCAGAGATAAGTCAAGAATTAGGCAAAAAACTTGACTTCTTCACAACAGCTTGACTTACATGTATCCATGTCAGAGTGCAGGCCTTTCCATGTGGTATGCTCTCCTTTAGCTGTTGTAGGTGCTGAGATGTGAAGTTTTGGCCAAGTATAGGCAATGCTGTGGTCCCATCAGGAAGTTTCTGCACTCGATAAAGGGAGTTCAAAATCCCTTCTTTCTTCAAGAGTTTTCTGTAATATCAACCAATTCATGAGGATCCCTGAAGAAAATTATTGCTATTGCTACAGAGAAGGCCCAAAATAGAATGCAAGACTGTTTTTTTAAGGCTGATACCACATTAAGTCAACAACAAAGTGAACATGGATCTGGCTTCATCAACTTGAACCAAGTGGCCAGCCTGAGAAATCATCAGGACTTCACAAGAAAACTTTTCGTGGTATAGCTACAAAACAGGAAAGCCAGGAGGGATGGACAGAGATATAGAGATGAACAGATGATTAGATAGGTAGGTAGATGAAAGACAGACAGACAGGCAAACAGATATAATTAGATAGATAAGATAGATGATAGAGATCTGTAGAGATAGGTAGGTAGGTAGGTAGGTAGGTAGGTAGATAGATAGATAGATAGATAGATAGATAGATAGATAGATAGATAGATAGATAGATAGATAGATAGATAGATAGATAGATAGATAGAGACAGACTGATTCGGGGTGCAGATGGAAATGAACCGGTTTTAAAGAAAGAAGACCTTCCCGCAAATAAAATCCTTGCATCCCAACGCGCCCCTTCCTAGAAATCCGCCCTCCACACCTGAAAAGCTGAGTAAACTGAGCCTCGGTAACGAGAGCCGCGGTGCCGCCAGAGGACGAAGCACCGACCTCCATCTTCAGCCATCGACACCGAAGAGAAACGGCATCAGCGCGGAAGCGGAACTCAAGTGTGAGCGCCAGGGCTTCCGGGGGGAAGGAGAAAAGGGTGGGTTCCACCACGAAAATGAAGGTGGCGGCGGCGCGTTTCGGCGACGGACCGGAAGTCGGCGGTTGGGTTGAAAGCCGCGGTGGGGAAGATGGCGGGCTTGTCGGTGCGGGACCCTGCGGTGGATCGGTCTCTGCGCTCCGTGTTCGGTGAGCTGCTGCGCCCCACCAGCCTCCCTCTCGCCCCGGGGAGCTCTCGACGGTGCCTCGGCCCGACCGTGCCTGGCCAAGGGGGACTACAAGCCCTCATCACCGCCCGCCCCCCTCCAGCCGGTCTGTCTGGTTGAGGGATATGAGGGGATGTAGCCCCCTCCTCCGTGGGGTCCTGGACTCCCTGGCTAATTTTGGGTGGGGGGTGCGTGGCTCCCTATAGGTGCTAAAACTCCAGTTCCCATCATTCCCAGCCATCACCCCTTGAAACGTGTTACACAGCCTTTTTGGAAATGCATGCAGCTTTCAGATCTCTTCTTAAAATTGAGCTCTTGTATCTATATTTTTAAACCAACATTTATTTATTTATTATTCTGTTTTATTTGTGTGTAGTGTGTGTGTAAGAATAGAATTAGAATTGGAAGAGAGGAGAAAATAGACTAGAATGGAATAGAATTCTTTATTGGTTAAGTGTGATTGGACGCACAAGGAATTTGTCTTGGTGCAAATGCTCTCAGTGTACATAAAAGGAAAGCTACATTCGTCAAGAGTCAAGAATCATCAGGTACAACACTTAATAATAGTCCTAGGGTACAATAGTATAGAATAGAAGGATATAGGAATAAAATTTTAATGGAATGGAATAGAATTCTTTTGTTGGTCAAGTGTGATTGGACACACAAGGAATTTGTCTTGGTGCAAATGCTCTCAGTGTACATAAAAAGAAAGATACATTCATCAAGAGTCAAGAATCACAACACTTAATAATAGTCATAGTGTACAATAAGCAATCAAAATACTAGGAAACAGTCAATAAAAATCATTAGGATACAAGCAATGAGGTTACAGTCATACAGTCATAAATGGGAAGAGATGGGTGAAAGGAAGGATGAGAAGGTTAATAGTGATAGTAATGCAGACTTAGTAAATAGTTGGACAGTGTTGGGGGGAATTATTTGTTTAGCAGCTTTCAGAAAAAAAACTGTCCTTGTGTCTAGTTGTTCTGGTGTGCAGTGCTCTATAGGTCGTTTTGTGGGAAGGAGTTGAAACAGTTTTTGTCCAGGATGTGAGGGGTCTATAAATATTTTCACAAGCCTCTTTTTGACTCGTGCAGTATATAGGTCCACGATTGAAGGCAGGTTGGTAGCAGTTGTTTTTTTCTGCGGTCCTAATTACTCTTTGAAGTCTGTGTCTGTCTTGTTGGGTTATAGAGATGCAGATGACAGATGATCGTTCCTCTGTAGAACTGTATTAGTGGCTTCTTGGGAAGTTTGAGCTTTCTGAGTTGGCGCAGAAAGAACATTCTTTGTTATGCTTTTTTGATGATGTTTTTGATGTTAGGTGTCTATTTTAGGTCTTGTGATATGATAGAACCTAAAAATTTAAAGGTCTCTACTGTTGATACTGTATTGTCTAGTACTGTAAGAGGTGGTACGTATGGGAGGGTTTCTCCTAAAGTCTACCACCATTTCTACAGGTTTGAGTGTGTTCAGTTCCAGATTGTTCTGGTTACACCATGAGGCAAGTTGTACACATACACATACACACATATACGTATGTATAGATATAGGTTTTATATATATGTGCGTGTATGTATGTATGTATATGTGTGTGTGTGAATATGACATGTATATGTTATGGTCTTCTGCCTGTTGCTTATCATTGGCGCAAATAGATTTTAAACACTTTAAATCTGTTTGCTTTTTCATTACTGCTATATACTGTATCGGGCTGGACAATGTTATAATATTGGCAATTTCACTCTTTCCGATGCAAAGTATCTTAAAAATGTAAATTGAATCCTCAAAAGCCTCTGTGGAGACTATCCATCCTGTCTCCAACAATATTTTTCCACTTCTGCATGTCACTTTTAATCGGCATATCAAACTGGTATTTGGTATCGGACCTAGGATCGATGTATTATTCTTTGCCTGAGGCCTGTCTTTTGTTTCATTTTGTTTTATTTTTTTATTTATTTGACTTTTTTATTGAATAAAGCATTAAAAAAACAATGAACATGGTGTGATCATTCTGACAATTCTGTTTGTCATACATATCTATCGTACATAACATATGATGCATATTTACATAACATATACATTTGTACATTTTTTCAATTTTCCGTCTTTCTAGTCGTCTCTCCTAGCAACCTTTTCTTATTTTAATGTTGAGTCCTTCCTTTTTCCCCACCATTGATAGAATTTATCCCATACATTATAGTATTCAGTCTCATCCTTATTTTTTTATTTCCAAAGTTAATTTATGCATCTCAGCGCATATCCATATCTTTTTAATTATTTCGCTTTCATCTGGAATTTCTTTGTCTTTCTACTTTTGACCATAAGCTAACCTTGATGCCGTGATCAATTTTGTTTTATTTTTGTTGACTGTAAGATTATTTTAAGTCTGGGTGTAAGTTTGACTTTTAGTTCGTATTTTGTGGTTTTGCTAGTTTTGTACCATTGAAATGAGTGGCTCATAAATCACAATAAATAAATAGCATTAACTGCAACAAATGACTAATGCTATAAGATTGCTGACTTTATTGGTTGAAAATAATAGGAACCGTGCCAGTAAAAGGCATCAGGTTGGAAAGACCGTCTTACTATCTAATAATACCACAGATACTGATGACCTGCTCCTGTCTTTCTCCTGTAGTGGGGAACATCCCTTATGAAGCCACAGAGGAACAGCTGAAAGACATCTTCTCAGAGGTTGGACCTGTAGTCAGTTTCCGGTGAGAAGCTTCCCTTTCGGAATTCACTGTGCATGCACACGCCTCACAGCAGATTTTCGGCTGATTTGAGCCTTTTTCGGCCTCCTAGAGGCTTGAAAAAAGCCTCTGCAGGCCTTGCAAGCCAAATAATAGGCCCATTTCCTGAAATACCGGAAATGACGAAGTGGGCCTATTATTCATCCGGCAAAGCCTGCGGAGGCTTTTTTCAAGTCTCTGGGAGCTGAAAAGGGCTTCAAACTGGCCCAAAATCAGCTGTGAGGCGCAGTGCAGGTTAGGGGACGGCGGCGGGAAGGGTGATTACACACGCATGCGCAGAGGGTGTGGGGCGGCACATTGCCTTCTGGGTGCTGGCATGCGAGCTCCAGCGCACGCACAATTTTGGGCACAGGAGCCCAAAAAAGATTAGCCACCACTGACCTAGATAAATCTTCCCCAACCTGGCATCCTTCCGATATATCAGATGAGTCAGGCTGGTGCTTCCATTAGAGAAAGGCTATTCTGGAGAACCACTGCAATTCAAACTATACACTACATTAGGAGATGGGAATGCTGGGCCCTCCAAATACAGGAAGTCCTCGACTTGTAACAGTTCATTTAGTGAGCGTTCAAAGTTACAACGGCACTGAATAAAATGACTTCTAGTCATTTTTCACAGTTATGATCTTTGCAGCATCCCCAATGGTCATTGTAATCAGAATTCAGGAGCCTGGCAACTGTCTCCTAGTTATGACGGTTGCAGTACCCCAGGGCTAAGGGATCAACGTTTGTGATTTTTCTGACAAGGAAAGCCAACGGGGAAGCCAGATTCATTTCACAAACTGGAGTTACTAACTGAACAACTTCAGTGATTCGCAGAACAGCTGCGAGAAGAGATGTTGCAAAATGGGGCAAAAGTCCCTTCGTTCCAGTGCAGCGGCCTGGAGGTGCAGCTCTCGCCTCACAATCAGGAGGCTGTGAGTTTGATCCTAGGTAGAGGCTGATATTTGGAATAGACTTTCCTGCTGGAGCAGGTGTAGAGGTTAGGAGAATGAGCGCATACAGGGAGACGTATAGAGAGTAGTGCTTGACTAGATCAGGGGTTTGGACTAGATCAGGGGTCGCCAACCTTTTGGATCTCAGGGACCACCAAACTCATGATTTTAAATCCCGCAGACCGCTAATATGAATTTTGACTCACGGTGGCTTGCTGACGTTTTCCCAGGGGTCTCTGCAGAAAGCAGCAGAGACCCTGGGACAATCCCCGCAAAAGTCTGCAGGAAAATCCCCCGCCCCGTTTTCCTACCGATCGATCCTTCTTTATTTGGGATCAGAGGATACCGTCTCCCAGCTTGCCAAGTTTGGAGACCCTTGGTCTAATGGAACGGCAGAGCCGCTACAATGAGTTCCAGCTGCATCGCAGGAGTTATCAGAATGTGATTGTATACAGTTGCCAACTGCTTCTGGCTCTGGATTTTGCCTTGAGGTTGAACTCCTGAAGCCTTTTTGGCATAACCGTCTTGGTTTTTCTCTGCTCTGCCAACCAGATTGGTGTATGACAGAGAGACGGGCAAACCGAAAGGCTATGGCTTCTGCGAGTATCAAGACCAAGAAACGGCGCTCAGTGCCATGCGGAATCTCAACGGGCGAGAATTTAGTGGGAGAGCCCTGCGAGTGGACAACGCAGCCAGTGAGAAGAACAAGGAGGAACTGAAGAGTGAGTCTTGAAGGCCCATCAGGAGAGGGGAGAAGGGGGGGGGCACACCCAGGCTGCAATTCTGTGCTTGTTTATAGCACATGTGATCTACAATCTCTGGCCCTAAGGTTTTCCTTTTTCCTCTGCTAGGCCTGGGCACTGGTGCTCCCATCATAGAGTCGCCCTACGGAGACCCCGTCAACCCCGAAGATGCTCCTGAGTCCATCAGCAGAGCAGTGGCCAGCTTGCCTCCTGAGCAAATGTTTGAACTGATGAAGCAAATGAAGGTTGGTGGGGTTGGCAGCCTGGAGGAGAGGACAATTGCTTGATTGTCTTGTTAGTTGCAGGAAAGGAAGGTTCCTCTCCTAGAAGCCAGGCT